TAAAGTGTACCAAAAAAATACTATGAATTTTGATATATTTTTTAAAAAAAAATTTCAACAAAAAATGAATATTAACTTTTCAAAAAACAAAGAAAATAAAACGAGTTTTTTAATTATTTTTTATATATTAATATGGATCTCTGTTTGAAAAGATGAAAAATAATGAACAATGGTATATTCGTTCTTTTTTCGATAAAAACCATGGTCTAAAAATAAAACTAAAAAAGGAAGTAAGTTTTGGTATAATCTGATGCATGTATGTCTAATGTATCAATCTACAACCCTTTCATTGGTCGTCGATCGCTTTAAATTTTGACATTTTAGATAGTTTCATTGGTTCTTTGATTCTGAAAAAAAAATCTTGAAAATTAACGTCAGCCACATATTTCTAATTTTCCACTCTAATGCTCTAACATACCGGTGCGACAGGATAATACCTTAAAATACGAATATGTGTATACCACCTCATTTTTGTTTCTACTTGTTTTAAGCATTGATGTTGTAGTCTTGTGACGTTGTAGTGCTTGATTATATACGATCTAGATTTACGAAGGTGGGAGTAATTAATGGTAGGGGAGATGATAAACCTGAAGCAAAGTTTCGTCGATTCATTGCTTAATTGCTTTATTTTTATTAGGTCATAGAAGGACCCTATGGTTTATATGAGAATGTAGGGGGATTGGGATCTAAAAAATAGATTCAAAATTTCATAATTAGTCCCTATAATTGTTTCTAATTCATGATATCCGAATTTTAATAAGGACTAATTATTGGCCTATTTATGTCTAGTTGTAACATCCCAAAAATTTGAGACAAAAAATTTCATTTTTACATACACAATTACAAAACCATTTGTATGAAAACAACCATAGTATCAACTCATATCAAATCCAAAATATCAATAGTCAAAACTATTGGATTAGGTGTCTAAGCCCATAACTATAATTGGTATGTACTTGACCTGAGAGTAGCATGGTCCATTTGAGTTGCATTCACCAAAGCAATTTGATAGGATGGATATTTTAGAAAAAATGTGACTTTTGATTTATTAATATATTATAAGTATAATATATTAATTGTGAAATCATAGTATTTAATTAATATTGACCAAGAATTAATTTGAAATTAATTTAATGATCAAAAGAAACTAATTAAATTACGGGGTCTGATTATGTAAATTAGTGATACATATGGTTTGGGCTATTGATCAATGATGGACTAAGTTTATGTAAGAGTCCATGAAGAGTTAGTCCATATGAATTATGGATCATAAGCCTTAGTGTAAGAATTAGGGTTACATATGACTCTTGGATTCTACATGATATATATGTAACCCCTTGGCCTAAAATGATACACACTAGTCTTCTTAGAGAAACTATAACCGATTTTGGGTGCCTCCAATCTCTCTCTCTCTCTCTCTCTCTCTCTCTCTCCCTCAAGTTCTCCAATTTTTGGTGGTGTTTTATAAACAATTTGAATAATCATACTTGAGGTGCTAAGTTCTTAAAGTCCAAATACAACAAGCTACAATAAGAGGTAATCTTCTAACTAGTTTTTTAATATTCAAATATCAAATTGTATGCTAGTTGTAGGCTTCATGCTTTGGATAATTTTTATTGCCTGTATAACTAGAGAAAACTTACATCCAAAGCATTAAGGTTATATGTGCACCATAAGGATGTTAGAGTACATAAAACCTAACAGTGGTATCAGAGCCATGGGTTGTTTTATGTTATATTGATGCATAGCTAATTGTTCAAAGTTGAAGCAAATTGAAAACTACTCTCTGCGTGATGAACTCGATGAGTCCATAAGGGGACTCAATGAGTTAGGCCAACTTGACGAGTCCATTGCTTGACTCGACGAGTTGGATCCTTAGATTGCAGATTTTCGGGTTCTTTTTGGCCTGAATTCGATTACGATCATTACCACAAACTGTTTTATATCATTAAATCTATTTTTTTTCTGATATGGTAATGATCGTCTCCATCCAATTAAAAGATAATTGTTAAAATTTTAAGATGATTATTAGTTTATATGATAAAGCTAATTATTAGTAATATTTTAATTTGATATTATCTTGAAGAGTTTCATTAGATCAAATTGGTAAAAGATAAATAATATTTGATTTGTTTAAATTTGATCTAAATGTTTTTGAGAGGTTACAAAACTTGCCATCAAGTTTTGGAAATCAAAAGTTTTTTTTAGGAGCTACAAAACTTGTCATCAAGTTTGAAATCCAAAAGTTTTTAAGAGTTACAAAACTTTCTCTCTATTTTTGGAACTTAAAAAGTCTTTTATGAAACATATAACTCTTGTAATTGAAAGTTTTCAAAAGGTGCAACTCTTGGGTTCATAGCTTAAAAATTAATTGAATAGTTTTTAATTTTGAATTTTTATATTTAGAACCATGATGTTTTTTAATAGTTCAATTACACTCTTATGGATTTTATTAAGTTAGTTAAATGTTTAATTAAGAGAGTATTATTAAATCCATAATCACATGGTTTAAGATTAATTAAATTCAAAGTATAATTTATTAATAGATTAAACCATCTAGTGTTTTAAATGTGTAAAATACACCCTTATATTGTATAAAATTAAAAGTTTAATAAGTTATATCTGTATAAGTAAAAGATCAGTCTTACTGTCAGTAGGCCTCATTCATGAAGTTGGTCTATAAGGGGTGTTTAAGGAAATTGCCAATAAAATGACGATTGAATGGGTATCCACTCTTACCCACTGCACTCTTGACTAGTGGAGGGTCGTTAACCGAATGGGTAGGATAGGACACAAGCTCTCATTAAAAGTATAATGAAATGCCAAGTAACTAAATACTTTTATAAATTCCAAAATCTTAGTTACTTTAGGAAAAATGTGAATTTGATCCTATTCCATGAAATTGCACTTTGCACCTTTCCAAGTCGTTAGTGGATCGTGTGCGGTTAACCGACACACTAACTTGGACTAGTAAGGGTGGCAAAGGGTAGCTCATAGTTTGTCATATATCAATGGAGCATGTGTGGTTAACCAACACATTGATTATGTGATAAATGACTTTGAGAGTACCAAGCTAATTTGCATGGCTATTCACATCTTCTTTGTGATCGTCGGTATCCTAATCACAAACTTGAAGGGCATAATCATGATTAAACATGCCATTGAAAAGTTCAATGAATCTCGAAAGATCTAGGAGTTCCATTTTAAATTAAATTCGTTTAAAATTTCGTTTTTGTGGTGGAATTGGTAAATCGTCATTTACCTACCGACAAATAGTTTGCAATTGGATTACGACACCCCTCTTCTGAATTGTAAATTATTGTGTTGGGTCCTAGCCTTAATATTTCATTTGAGTGTTATATTAATGAATTAAATCAACTAAACTTGAATTTGTCCCTTATAAATGTCTAGTTCAAACAACTTTGGTCTTCCTGAATCTTTTGGAAAAAGATTTCCTCATGAAGATGATGTTCCACGATTGGATCGTGGAAATGAAAATTATACTTCAATTCCTCTACCTCCTCCAACAGTTCTCTCTAACCCACATGTTCGTCGACTTGAAAAGTTCAAGGTCACTCAAGCCCTATTGGCATGCAAACATGAAGATGGAAGGTATGTGTGTGCACATGTCTTGGAGATGAAGTCATACATTGACAGACTAGGAATGTTAGGATTCGTTGTGTCAAGGAAGTTGGTTGTTGACTTGGTTCTTCAGTCACTTCCCGAGTCGTATATTCAGTTTATAAAGGACTACTATATGACAAACCGCGACGTAACCCTTATTGATCTTACCTATTTTCTAATTGCTACTAAATCAACAATGATTTGGTGCACTGGTTAAACAAATTTTATTGGAAGATCTACCTCCCAAACTTCCATGGACATTGACAATGGAATCATTGGAAGTCCAGAAAAGTCTTCTTTTCCCAATGGAAAGGGATCGGCCATGGTCAAACCATTTGAACTAATGGTAAAGAGAAAGACTAAGTCTGAGATTGTCCTGTGTGCCATTCCAAAAGAATCTGTTTGCTTCTACTGCCAAGAGAAGGGGCATTGGATGCGAAGCTGTCGTATCTACTTGAATGACCACAATGATGGTAAAGTCGAAATGTTTGACTCTGCTTCAAGTAAGTCCATTATTCAACTCTATTAAGTTCCTACTTCTAGATTCTTAATACATGATGCGATAAGATTTCATTTTGATGTTTTGTAGGATCAAAGAAGAGAGAGGAAGCTTAAAGGAAAAGCATGCCACTACTAGAAAAATAGCCTTTTACGACGCGCAATTAATGACACACACGGATAAAGGGCACGCATTTGTGCGTGCCCTAAAAATTAATGTCAGTTTTCCAAAATTTGAAGGATAGAAGACACCCATTTTTGGCGTGCCCTTAAATTTGTGTTAGAAAAAAAAAATACAGAGGGCACCTATCAAAAACTGTGCGTCGTGTAACTGTGTCGCTTTATATTTTTTTAGGAAACACGCGTTTTTAGGGGGAAAAAATGAAATCCAAAAAATTAACCCCGCCTATTCATCCCAAAAATTGCCCGCCTCTTCGAATTAGGGCCTTCATCTTCATCCACAACTTCCTCAATTCCTCGATCCATAGCCTCCACCAAAAACCTAATTCTTGGTTCCAACAAACTTGTACACTCTTAATTCGACCCTAATGAGCTGAGGATTTAGGGTTCTTACCTCCCAGTTATCAATTTGAGCCAATGATTTAGGGTTCCTAAATCCAACCCTAATTTTTTCTATCACACTCTCGTATTTCCATCTCATCCCTCTCGCCTGGATTTGCGCCTGGATTTGTTAGGGCTTGTTTCATCCATTCATTGCCTCCCTACCACAAGCGATCTTATAAATCTGCCCAATCGACCTCTTCAATCATCTTTTCTATATCTTCATATGGTAAGAGCTTCAAGATTTATCTCTTTCCCAATTAGTGAGTTCTTTTGTTTTTACTTGATTGCTGAGTTTGTTCTTGCTCGATCTTCACATGTTTCTTGGAATTTTGCCTGTCAATCGCTTTATTTGCCGTGAAGATACAAGCTCTTCAGATACTCTGGTCAAAGACATCACCGGCTCCCCTCCCGTCGCTGCGGTCGGTCTTCCTTCTCCTCGCCGCCGTTGCCACTGCTTCTTCCACCCTCGCCGGCGTCAGACCTTCTTTCTCCTTGCGAACATCCTTTTCTTCCTTCCCGTCGCTGGCATCCTGAACTTGTTTGGTAAGAGTTTTATGTTAGGGTTCAATTCATAATAGCCTTGCTGGAAATCGGGAAATGAAACTGCTGGCAGAAGCTAATAAACCAGGAAGCCTTATCAACAACTACGTGACTCAGTTAAGTTGTATGTTGTCAAGCAAAGCAACAAATCTTGTGAGCCTCCAAGCCCGCCTCAGCAGGTTCCATCATCACCTCAAGGAGATTCTCAGCCATAAGAGGTTACCTCGTTAACACCCACACCCTACTCCAATTTACCTTGTAATCTCTCTCTCTCTCTCTCTCTCTCTTGTATGTGCAAAAAAGACGTAAATGTCCTCAATCATCATCATCCTGATCATTTTTATTGTAGGAATCGAACGAGAGTGGACTGTGATGTGAGTGTGGAGATTTGATTTCTTTTGGTTTTGGTTTTTGTTGGTTAAGTTTTGATTTGAATGAATGGTGTTTTTGTGAAGAAGTGGAAATAAACAAAGAAAAAAACACAAGGTATTGCTTGTTGCTCTGCAGGTTTGGTTTTTACTTTTTGTATATGTAATGCTTAATTACACCTTCGTACACCACGAAACTTATTATAATTATTATTTCATATTATGAATGGTGTTGCACATATAGAATACATTCCACTATTGACCAGTCAATTAGGTGTAGCCTTTTTTGATGATAAACTTAGTTCTCTTTGAATGCAATGGTTACAAGACAATGTTAGTTAAAAAAATATGGATTTGAGTAAATTACATTTTTGTTTTTGACAAGGTTAGGTACGTACTGCTCCTATAGTTGTATACACTTCCAGGAAAGGCTCATCTGCAGCTGGGCTTACTGCTTCTGTCATTTGTGATAACAACACTGTAACTTTCTTATCTTTTTACTTTTTTTATACAAATATTCTACAACACCCTTCCATATTAGGGCTGCCATACATGAAGCCATGGAACAACAAACAATATCCATAACCAAAGCAGGAATAACAACAATTTTGAATTCCAAGACTTCTGTATTAGCTGCAACAAACCCTCCATCAGGTTGTTATGATGATCTCAAAACTGCACAAGGTATTTTTTAAATATATTTATTTAATTATGATGTTTATTACCCAATATATATATATATATATATATATATATATATATATATATATGTATGTATGTATGTATGTATATATATATATATATATATATATATATATATATAAAATTATCCATATTGCTGCTAAATATATATATATATATATATATTTATTTAATTATGTTTTTATTACCCTAAATATATATAATTATTTAATTATGTTGTAGATTGTAGAGAACTTGTACATATTCTTCTTGTTGTTAGCGCTGAAGCTACTGCTCAAGACACGCAACATGGAGGTACAACTCTACATACTGCTGCTATGACTAATGATTTGGAGTTAGTTAAAGTAAGTTTATTTATTTATTTATTTATGTATTTATTCTTCCATCAATTTCCTCAAGTGTGTTGACATTTTATGTACAGAAAGGCATGAATGAGTTGAATTGGTTGGACCATTAACTGCTGTTATGTTTGAACAGATTATTCCTTATGCTGGAGTTGATGTGAACATAAGGAATGTGCAAAAAACCATTCCTTTGCATGTGGCAGTAGCAAGAGGATCAAAATCATGTGTTGGAATGCTTCTTTCTGCAGGTGGTCTGGTAGAAAAAGGCCTTCCCTTTCCTTTGCTGAGTATTTCCTCAGTAGTTTCCTGCTTAGCATCGCCCTCTCCAAATCCATTGCCCTTGTGATTTTATTACCCATCAACAAACAAACAAACAAACAAAGATGAGTATGAGTAAACAAATGAAATGCAAGTATTATGATTCATATGTGTAAGCAAACCTTGAGGCGTGATGTACTGCTTTCTGGAGGAAGGATAGTCGGCGGAGCTCGATCTCGATGTAGACGGAATCAGATGGACCGCCTTGGATGAGCAAGAAAAGGTAGGTCCTGTGAATCAATGGAAGGTTGCATTCATCCCACAATTTAGGAGTCATCTCTTCAATAATTGCACTGCAGCTGGTGCTTCTTGTCAAACCCATTGGCAAGTGAATCATTTAAGAAATTCAATGTGCATATGAGGCAAGTATATCAGTATATCTTCTAATTATATATATATATATATATATATATATATATATATATATATATATATATATATATATATATATATAGATCTTAGACTCATAATCACACCAATTTTCAGATTTTTTCTGATTCTATAAAGAAAAGGGACTATGATGATCACTTGAGAAACAAAGATTCAAAAAATTTGTTTCACAAATCTGCTAGTTCATCTCATCAAGAGACTATTGTTTCACAAAAACTTTGTTTCACAATTTTCAGCCCCATTTCGTGCAGAACTACCCACCCCACCCCTACCCCTACCTACCCACCCACCCCACCCCACCCTCTCCTGTAGATACAAACTCCAGTGTTGCACATCTCTCAAGTGGTGAATCAGAATTGGAGTCTTCAGATGAGGTAACTAATTCCATTTTCATGTCATGTAATTATAATTATAATTTTACAAATACTTTATTTATACATTTTTAGGAAAATGTTGGAGGTAAGAGAAAGCATATAAAATGGGAATCCATAGTGGGTCCCGCTGTTGACAAAAATGTAGCACATGAAGTTGTTGGATTGAGAGCTGCAACTTTAGGTCACTCTCTCTGGGAATCAGCAACCTGTACGCACAGAAATTACAGAGGCTGCAATGGAAAGGGTTCAGAAGTGAGTAATTTTATTATATTATTTCATTTTATATTTTTGTATCTTACTCTTTTTTTTTAATTAAATGTTAAAACATTGTTTCATAAATCAGATAAATTAGTAAAAGAATGATATATTGTATCATTGATTTTTTTTGCAGAAACTGTCACTTCTGATTATAGAAGCATATAGAGATGCCCATCAAAAGAGTGTCCAGGTTTGTATGATAATATAAAAAGTACAATTTTACCCTTGGAGTAATATATTTTGAATTTGACCGTTTTACCCCTTTTTAGGCAATGAAAGCACGAATGGGCGATCTTGCATAGAGCTTAGGAATGCCCCAAGGTTTGGGTGATCAGTTCAAGCAATAATTCAATCCCCATTTTGCCCTCATCCTTCAGAAAGCTGCAGTTTTATAGACTTAACTGTGCCAAAAGGTCAATATTACCCCTCAAATTTTAATAATACTTGTAGCAGTTCATATAAGAAGAATTGTGGGGTAACACAAGTGACTTTTTTATTTTTATTTTTTATTTTTTTAGGTTTGTTATCGGGTACTCACATAAAAAAAAGCAGTTTGTTGAATGAAGAAAAGAAAATGACATCCTAGTTTTTTCTAATTTTGACAGTCTACTATCAAGGTATACCACAATTATAGTTTTTATTTTTATCTTTTATATTATGTTAAACGTCTTTTTTTTGATGTCCTAATTACTCTTCTTCTTCTTCTTCTTCTTCTTCTTCTCCTAAAACACAAAGGGACCCACATGTCCTTGAAGTTATAGATTTATCCCAATCATAAACCTTCTATTTAACCAGATTAAGGTTGTTAGAAAAGAAGAATTTGATCACTAGGATGACTAATTGACTACACGACCCCTGATCCAGAAGCCAAGCATCTTTTTCATTCTTCACTACTTTTATCTACCGATTTAAATAAAAAACCATTATCTTGGACTCCAATCATGATTATATGTTTATGTGGGCGAAAACATGCAAATATAATTAACCTGTAGGATAATAGTATGGAGGGTATTTTGGTAAATCATTATTCCTTAGTTAGTAAGAAAAGAGGGATTGAGCAGCCTTGAGAGAGAATTAAGTTAGAAAATATATAATTCAAACAAAAAAAACCAAGCATTCACTTCATTTCCCCTTTGAAAATCTCCCTTTGGAATTCCAAGCTCTGTTCCCCATACAACAAAAGAACAGTCTTAGTTTTTAGTGCCATATGTGTTCTTTTACACTTTTCTTTCTAATTTTCTATCCATTTACACAGTTTTAGAGGTTACTTTTTTTTTTCCTAATTTTCTATCCACATTTGTTGATTGATGGTTGTTTATTATTCGAACATATGGTTTTGGGTTTCAGGTATATAGAGTTTCAGATACGGAACTTGTGAGTGTGCTTTCGAGTGCAGAAGATGAGGTCAATGTAGCTTGCTTTCATCCTCTTGCTGGAAGTGGTCTTGTTTATGCAACCAAGGTCGGTACTTTATCTAATAAAAAAAAACTTTAGTCTATATTTTTATTTTTATTATTTATTTTTGGTTTTAGGAAGGCAAACTTACAATCCTTCAGCATGATGGTGGTCATGCGCCCAGACCTGATCACTTTTTTGAAGCAAGAGCAGTTGAGGTACAACAGCTCTTGTATTTTTAATACATTTGCTAAAACTGGGTAGATTTTCTAAAGGTGCTTTTCATAGTTGATTAATACTTGTGCATAAGTCCTTAGCATATGTAATATCAAAGAAGATAATGGACAATGTACATTGTGAATCTGATTTCGATTTGATATGTGCAGATATCTTATTTAACTGCATTGCAACTTGGAATTAAATGGATATTTTTTGGAGGGATTTTCATAAGGGGTGAATGCTCATGAGGGTAGTTTAATACTCTATTTACTTGGGTAATCAGTAATGCCTCATTTACTTTCTGTGTATAAATAAATAATTTATTTCTTTTCCTATTTGCTTATAATTCAGTACCTTTGTGATTGAATGTATTGTTGGTTAAAGAAGGGTGATTCAGACATTGGAATGGTAGTGGATGCATGTTGTCCCATGATATAAGAGAGAGACAGATCCAGAATATTTCTACAGGTATAATATCTATTTATACATACATGATGATGTGTAATTATGCCGTATATACTATATATATTAAGTTGGTTGGTATTTTACTTTTAGGCATATTCCTCTGAATCGGATCAATGGTGATGCACACATGTCTTTTCCTTCTTTTTCTGCTGCATATGAAGACATCAAGGAAGGAGATTCAAGCTCAACAACTTTTATTGAATGCTAAGGTCTTGTATGCAAAACATTTTTCGGTTTGTGTTGCAGGTTTGAGATGTCCGAGACGAAGAAGATGATGAACAGTAGGCTTTGAGAGGGTGGTGGCCTCTAGTTTTTTGATTTTTTTCGTTCTTTTGATTCATGAGAAAAACACAAAAAACTTATTTTGGTATTTTGCTTCAAACGAAAATCACAGGAACAACAAAAAAAAAAACTCTTATTTCTTTTTCTCCTTATTCTTGTTTCGATTGGTAGCAGGAAGGTCTTGGCCTCTTGGGTCACTCTTATTTCTTTTTCTCCTGCTTTTCTATTTTCTGGCTCAATTAATGATGTTGGTGATGTTGGTTTCGATAGTGAGCAGGTAAGGGTGACTTGATGGAGGCTGGAAATATTCGGGTGTGATGGGTTCGTGGAGAGTGTAACGGAGCAGGTAAGTAAATTTATCATATTTGGTTTTCATTTGCAATAGGACTGAGAGGTGTATGGTGTTTCAGGTGAGTTTGGTGGTGAAGTTTTGAAGGCTTAAACATATAATGAGTGTAGTGGCGAAGGATAGAACAGGTACCATTTCTGCAGTTTTGTTTGGTATTTTTGGTGTTGATCCAATTGGAATTGCAAGTGGATAAAACTTTTGCCTGAACACATTTTCTAGAATATACCACAGCCTGATTAAATAATAAACACAAACAAATAAATAAAATGAATGTTGCATTCACTTAAGGGATCCCAAGGTTGTATTCAAGTGTTAATCCAATTGGAATTGCAATCTTACCTGTGAACTTGGTAGGTTTAAAAGTAGAGTGTCTTAATAAGAATTAATTTTACAGGATTGATGAAAGAGAATAGCTTTGGAGTTAGAAGAGGAAAAGAAAGCTCAAGCTAAAAGAGATAAAAATGCTGCAAATGCAAGTGTTGCATTCTTCATTTCAATTGTTACTATGAAACACATAGTAGATTAGATGAATACAAATTTATATATTGTAATGAAATATAATTGTATGACATTAAATTTTATGCAATGGATTCTATTTTTGTATATGGTAATTTATATCTATTATGAGACATTAAATGCAAATTTAATTTAAAAATTAATAAATATATAAATATATTTTTTTAAACATTTAAAATTATGATACGCAAAAATGTGTGTCATCGTCATTAATGACATGGCCTTTCTTGACAGGGGCTTTCTTCATACGTATTGTGTGTTATTAACACGCGCGTCGTAAGGTTACGACACACGAATGCGTGTTGTTTTCGTTTATGACAGGGCCTTCCTTGATACGCATTGCGTGTCGTAAACGCGCATCGTAATTGCGCGTCGTAAATGAGCGTCGTAAATGCGCGTTGTCTATAGATGACGCGCAAAAGCGCGTCGTCTCTCTTTATCATAGGGTCTTCCTTGACGCGCATTTGCGCGTCGTCTGAGCCTTTTACGACGCGCAATGAGCGTCGTAAAAGGCTGTTTTTCTAGTAGTGTGCCGAGTCTGATCGCGAAGAGTTAGATTTCGATCGCATGGTTAGATGATCGAAGTTTTGAGTTGCTACTTAGGAGTTTTGATAGATTGCTTATAAATTTGTAGTAACAGAGTTTTCATTTGTAATTGCATTGTAAGGAAAAATTTATCCGCATTTTATAAATAAAGAAAATTTTTAATTTGATCTTATTTTATATTTCCTTGCAAAGACATTTGTGAAAATTGATGTTTGTATGTTTCTATTTTTAGAAATATGGATTCTTTTGTTTGTGGTAGTGTCTAAATTTACCGATTAAGAAAAGATTCTCATCACCAAAGTTTCAGTTGGACAGAAACTTGGAATCAAGCAACTTGTATTGTATGATGAATGAGAACTTTCATCTTTGGAAATTAAGACTAATTCCTTGTTCACATATAGATGTGAGTCAAGTGAAGGACAAAGGGATCTAGTACACATTGTTGTGCACTGATCAGGTCCACCACAAAGAACAATAAAACTATTCGTCATGATTTATTAAGAGTTTAGTGAATATGATTATGCTTACAAGATTAAGTGTAATTCTGAATCATTGAAAAATTTTCAATGTATAGTAGAACGAATAAGAAGAATCAATAAGGCAGAAAGATATAAAGTTTCTCCAATGTGAAAGGAAATGAGAGTACTTTAGTATCGTGTTTTGTGATCATCTTAATGATTAGGAAAACCATATCACAATTGATCCTCTAAGGACACCTTAGTGCACTTTTATGGCTAAGAAGAGTAATAGGGAATTGTTGAAATGGTTAAATCAATTAAGTTGAGTCATACTTTGTTCCAAAATAAATTCTTAGAGTCATACTCCAAGATTGTGCCTTGAGTGATATATTTGTCACAACTAGGAATTCTGATGCTTTGTAAACATTGAACAGTGATAACAACGTGATTGAAACTTGAAAGCATGTATGATGTTTATGCAATGACAACAAAATTTCCATCAAACACTCTATACAACAATCAAATAGTCAACAAAAGGTGGGAAACCCTAGAATCCCGGTTTAAGTCCAATATGGACTAGGATTTCCTTATTGGGCCTAATGGGCCAATAAGCTTCCAATTTAACTTTATTGGGCTTAGAACTCTTAAATGGTCTCTAATTGGACCCACTTTCATGAGACTTAACCTTTTTGGTCCTTATAAGCCTAAAGTGGACTAGTTTATCTTTAATGGGACTTATTGGGCCATAACAAATCCAAATAGCTTTAATGAACTCAAATTCATTCCTTTATGCTAAATTTGGGTCATGAACTACTTTAAAGGCCCAATGGGCTGAAAATCATCAAATTGGGCCTCATATTATGGACTCATGCACTAAAGGCCCAAAACCTTTTCTCTTCTCTCTCCCTTTCTGCCCAAATAAATAAATAAATAAATAAAAAGAGAAAAGAGAATAAGAGAGGTTGACTTTTATATGCCACCTCATAATTGTCCATTGGAAACCCATGCACAAATCCCATACTTCCATGCATGTCAACTCATTTTATCACTTCTCCCCTCTCCTCTTTTATCCTCGGCCGAGAACCAAACACACACACCTCTTCAAACTTTCATGTCAAACACTCTCAAGCACATCCTCTTCTCCATCCAAATTTCGAGATTTTGGAACATTTCAAGGAGGTTCTTCCATAAGAATCATCATCTTTGGTAAGTTGTTGATTAGATCCATAACCTAGTTTCTCTATTTCATCAAAACTTCTTCCTAACTCATACAATTTTCGTGATCTACTCCTTAGAAGCTTCTTAAATTCGAGATCCACTCAAGAAAGCTTGTTAGGGCTGAAAATAACATCAAACTCTTCCATTATTTCTTTAAAACCAAAAACAACAAGAAAAGGTGAGTTCATACTACTCTATTTTTGGTTTTCATATGTTTTATGGGGGAAAATACAAGTAAAATGTGTAGATTTATGTGTATGTGTATGTTATGCATGATTTCATGTGTGTATGTGGTAAATATGTGTTGAAATGGAAAGAAATCTCAAGATCTATGGCTCAAGGGGGAAATATACATGATATAGGATGTATTACATTTAACAAGTCAAGAAAACTTATCATCTAAGGTTATAATAAGCATGTTACAACATAAAACTCATTTTTGGGCTTTTTGTCAAATAAACAAAAGTTAGGTTAAAGGTTCTCATTCATGGTTTTTATAAGGACCAAAAGGGTCAAAACAGTTAAAATAGAAGCTTTTATGAATATTATGCTCTTCAAAAGACTAGAAATGTAAATTGTAGTCTACTGGGCCAAACATTGGGCTTTTCGGCCCATAGGCCCAAATTTGCGAATAAAATGGGTTTTAAGGGACTGAAATGGTAAAAAGGGAAATAAATCTATTTCAGGGGTTAAAATGACCCTTTTTGCCAAAAAGGATCAAAAATGCAATGTTTTTGCATTTTAGGTCAAATTTGTAAAAACTGCAAAAGTTTGGATTATAAATAAAAAACATTTTACCAAAGGGGCTGAAACTGCCAAAAGTAAACTTTAGGCTGAAAACGTCATTTAAATATGTCTTTGAGCCAAAATTTCAAGAAAAATAGTTTAAGGACCTAAAATGTCATTTTTCTATAAACAGGGACTAAAATTATCATTTTTATTACAGAAGGGCTGAATAGGTCAAACCCATTTTTTTTGGGTTAATTATTTTATTATTAAGATTTTTGGGTCAAAAATATCAAATTATAACTTATGAATTTAGAATGAAAAATATACATATATTTTCATAAATCTAAATATCGTTATAAAACGATCGGCAAACTTTGTGTCTTTGCGATTCAACAAATGTCAAACAAAATTCCCGACAAGTATACTATACTTAAAACAAGTAAATATTCAAACTATTGGGCTTGAAAGATTCAAATCATGCTTGTTGGGCCCTCGTGACCCATTAAACATGACTTTTGGGTCTAACAATAATAATATATGTTATTTGGGCCTTTTGTGACCCAATTACATGCTTAAGAGACCCTCAATGGCAACTATATGATGTTGGGCCTTAGTGGCCCACTAGTATTGCTAGTAAGGTCCAAATAAATCATATGTGAAATAGGCCAACACATCCTTCGTATAC